TTTTTCTTTCAACAACTGAATAACATTTATTCAATCTCTAATCATAACAATACATCAAAGAAAAATATTCAATCATTTCTTTACAAGACAAATCATTATTCACCTTCGTTGTACATTAACTAATATGAATACATTTTAACATATAGACAAAATTAAAGGTAAGCATTGAAACATGATGGAATCATTCCTTTGAGAATATTTTAACGCATTAATTTATTATGAGTGAATCTCTTCGACCACCTGTTAAAACTTCTGATGAAAAATTAGGTCGATTTTCCTTTGTACGTGCCCACCAAACTCCTCTTCAACAATCTAGAACTACAACTCAAGACCAAATAAAAAATGTTCCATCCGTTTCATCAGAAACAAAATCAAAGTTAGTATTTTATATGAATTCATTTCAATAATGTTTATTAAATGATTAGATGTTCTGTTTTACAATGTATTGGTCTCCAATTGTTAGTTTCATTATTGCTTCTTGTATTGGCGGCTCTTATCATCCCTATTGTTGTAATAGTATTAGGTAAGTTTAGAAAAAATAGAAATTTATTATTTATTTCATTGTAAATCTTCTTCTATGAGTAGAATATATAGATGTTACCTGTAGGATTAGATTCTTTTCTCATTGATTCACGAAAAAGAAAGTTATAAAATATTATTAATAGTTTTTTTGTTTAGATACTCGATCATCACGTACGTCTTTTGATCTATTGTATTTATTTATACTTTATCATTGTGATTGTAGCATGTTCAACAACATATTCTCAAACTTTTATAGGCGGCGCTACTCCAACAACTCAATGCACAGCATTCAGAGTGTTCACAACTGGTTTGACTTGTTCAAGCTATTCACTGATGCAGATGTACGGCTCTAATGATCCGGTAGGTATAACAGTAACTGATTCATCAGTTGTTACTGCTCTGGCACTAGCTCTACGCTACAATAGTACATTTGGCATTACGTATAATGGAGTTACGTGGAAGATTGGTGTATGTAATGGCCGTTACGAAATAACTGCAACAGGAAGTTTGTGTTCTTGTACAGCTGGTTACACGATGAGACCTTGCCATGTGAATTCTGATTGGGGTGGTATCGCTGGTTCAACATGTAGTCCAGCGACGCAAATAATGTCTCTTCATTTTGAATGAATAAAGTGAACATAGTTAATTGTATAAATAAGAAGAATTCTTTTTTATGTTTTTGTTTTCTCTTCTTTCTTGTAACTATTTTCTTTGTTGCATATATGAAATACAGAAAGACAGTTATACGACTACCATGTCGTTATTACGATTTGTCACGGATGGCAATGAAACTATTTGACAGTGTTGTTATATAAGTTCATGATCAGAGATGCATCGAAAAAGTTATATCCTAATTCAATAGATCAACCTCCTATTTAATGAAACCAGTGATCAATACGATACAAATTCAAAATATGTGTTGCTTGTCCGTTTTTCTTAGAAGGCAAGTTTTTGATCATCGTCACATTTACATATCGAAATACTGTACTCGTAAGTTCGTTAGAAAATCTGAAATAAGTAATTAAAATTCTGGTTTATTATTAAAACCATTTCATTATATTTATTATTGTTGAAGGAAATATGAAAATTAATGTAGCAATATTCAATAGTATATATTGCAATTATTATTCTTGATCAAAAGTTTTTGTACTCTATTATTATTTGAATCAAGCACGAGCAGATTGCCTTTAGAATCGAAACGAACTCTTCGTGGTTCATTAAATTCGTTTGGATCTTTACCTGATGTGTTGATACTACCAGCTATAATTGTTATTGTCTTCGGATCGTTCATATTCATTTTTACTATTCTCTGCTGTTCGCTGTCTGCAATAATAACAGTCGGATTAGTTGGATCTGAACCGGGCATAATTGCAAAGCCGTAAGGATGCTTGAGTACACCCTTTCCAATTTTATGAATCAATATACCATCTGTATTAAAATGTAAGATAGAATCTTCTTGATAACTTGCGACATATAGATCATCATTTGATTCATCAACATAAATATCTATCGGTTTACCTACTTTAGCAATAATTTTTCCCGTTTCTGCACCAGGTGACCATTTCGTTACACGATTAGCGGAATGTTCAGACACATAAACATTGAATTTTTTGTCTACATATAAACCCCAACAATTACTAATTTGATTTAAGCTATTGCCACGACCAGATTTGCCAATAACTGTTTCTCCATTTTTGCTATTTTTAGTCCATTTTTGAATCCGATGATTGTAATTATCTGATACATAGATGTTCTCCTTACTATCGACAAACATTGCCGTTACGTAATGCAATTGATCGATTTGATTTACTTTCTCATTGCTACCAACTACAATATAACCTTGACTGGCATCTTTATCCCATTTAATAACACGTTGATTAAAAAAATCTGCGATGTAAATAGCATCATTACTATCAACAAACATATCAACTGGAATACAAAGTTGATTCAAACCAGAACCACTCGTAAGACCACCAGCGACAGTCATAGCATGCTTAGACCAGATAGCCGTTGGACAAATCTTCAATGAAGATTTTGATGTAGTAATAGATGTACCTAAAATTAAAACGTCAAGTTTATAAACATAATAAAGAGTCAAACTAGTTTTTGAAAGATCTTTATATAGATCAAGTCAGTTGTCTTAGGCTATAATACTCACTGTTCTTGATTGAAAAAGTCGAAATCGTTGGTAATAGTGTTGACTTTTGTGTTATTTCTCTTGAAGGAGGTTCCTCACGCTTTAACGCACGATGAATGAGTAATGATACCATGAATAAAACAAGAATTGATAAAATCGTTAAAACAATGATCAATATTCTATTTCGTATTCTGTATTGTCGTAATGTTCTTGCGCTTACATCATCATCATCATCATTTTCGTTAATGAGTCTTATTTTAGTACGAAGAATGTATAACATTGTTTATATAAAAACAACCTACTAGTAAAACAGAAACAACGAATAGTACCAAAGTGATCTATCATATGTGAATTTATTGTGATACATTTTTTTCGTTCTTCAATGTAACTAAATCTCAATACTCTATGGAATAATTCCTACATAAAATAATGCCCATCTATATTGAAATTGTAAATCAATACTACATCGATGTAACAATTAAAAGATAACAAAAATCGAAAGAAAAAACGTAATCATATGGTAAACATATCGATATAGTCAAACGTTGAAAATCTTTCTAAAAGTGAGTGAATGTAAATGAACGTAGGCGAGGGTTCATCTTTTCTGTATCCACATCCAACGAATTATTTAGAAAAATGACAACATATTGCCATATTAATGTATAAAAGAATGTCTATCGAATACGAGAAATAGACAAACTACAAACAACATTTATTAACAAATGAAATTTTATTATCGATAAAGAAATGTAATATTAAAGATACAAGTAGAGACGATGCTTGTTTAATTTTAGTCAATAGGATAATAAAAGTGAAGAATATTAACATGAATTATCTATCTAATGATGCGGTTAACATTGAATATGCTATTGAGAAGTTTGTTAAACAACGGCTCTGTTGTTTACCTATTGAAATTAATTGTCAAATTGGTAGGTATTAGACCTAATCTTAAATTAGTTTGTGTAATATACGTATGTGATTTGATATATTCATATGTACATTCTTATTCGGTGAAGAAATAAGGACAAAAGATAATTTCTTTTCTGTTGAAAACCATTGGAGTATATTCGTCATGCATATGTGTACACGTGTGTTTTTTCGTTGATTGACTCGTTACAAATCGATAGCAAGTTTTAATATTTTCCGATTTATCTCATGATCGTCAGTAGGTAACTATAGATTAAATAGTTTGTTGAAACAAGTGTAAATTTTCTTGACACAATCTCGTAAATTAACGGACAGTATTGAATTTATTGTACAACTTTTATGCCACAGACTTAATCATATGGACTCAATGTACTTAGAAAAGCAAAAGTTGATTATGCTGCTTATCGTACCTTATTCAAAACTTTATGTAAACACTAAAACTTGCTTGATTTTAAAGATTTTCATTGAAAAAACTTCAATCGTATTGGAAATTCTATTTCCAAATAGCCACCAACACTAACTTATCCTGCGATCAAAGATTCATGTTATATTGAATGAGTATATATATGCTAACGCAAAACTAGTCAACGCTTACAAATTTGTGAGTATGGATGAGGATCAGGGAACTTGATTGTTTTTATACGTATCCTATACCCCGAAGTATATAATTTAATTTTAAATAAAATAGAGAACATATACTTAATTTGAACATTAATTTACGTATAAATAATCACTTAGAAAACATGCTGTTAGTATAATATTCAAAAGATATTTGTAGTAGGATGAGGATTAACAGAATGAATTTTATAATTATCAACAATAAAAACCCAATTAAGTTCAATACCATTAACACCCTCAAATGGAGCGACTATTTTTTGTTTTTGCCCATTTGCTCGAAGAACTTTAATAGCAGCTATTTCCTTGCGTGTTTGATACGAACCATGGTTTGTAGAACGTTCTTTGGCTCGAATATATCCTCCTACAGGTATATCGACAGTGGACGCTTCTTGTTGAACACCTTGCCCTTCAGGTGCTGGTCCACTGTACAGGATTTGAACCTTAATATTTCCATTTGAATTGTTTCTAATTGTACAACTGTGTACGAAACGAGGAGCAGGTATACCTACCATCGGAGGACGCATATCTGGTTATTTTTACGATTTATTTCAAGCAATAAAAGTGAAAATACAAAACAATCCACATATATATGTTCGATAATGAAACATAAATCCATTCATCCGTGCGCTTATATTTTATCGATCGATTACATAGAAAGCATAAATTATTATATTCTTTCTTACGAAAATATATTTTCATTGACGACAGAAAGAGATAAACATTCGCACATGGTAGCGTTTTTATACTATTTAGTCTTTATTTTACTCAAAAGGATGTAGGTGTGCGAAATGAACAGAGTTACAAGATCCACAACTTATATGTTAAGTGAATGAGAAAGATCTTTGTATAATTTATATTTCTATAAGCCGATATAATAAAATGAAAAAGGAAAATGTTCAGTTTATTCCATTCAATATTTAGGAACATGTGTATTCTATGCTGCTAGTACCACTTGAACATGAACTTGCTTTCCATGAATATTTAATCTTGCTACCTTTGATAACTTTTCCACAACCAGTACGTGCATAATTTTCTACCATCGTTCCACATACTTGTTCACAATTGATCATAGCTGCATTTTTGCACGAGCAGAATTTACATGATGATATATCCCACGAATGAAATGAATAATTGATTGTATTGGAAACAGCCTTACATTTACATCTGTAAAAATTATTTATTTTTATATCTAAAATTTGTTTTACACTTACTTGCGACTGAATGGATTTCCATTGGCAGCGATAGCAAGAGTAAGTATAACAAGAACAAAGAATTTCATCCTCGAATTTTCTAATAAAAGAAAGTATATGTTATAGGAGAAATTAAAATCCAGGAGAATTTAAAACTCCCCTAGGAGAAATTAAAATTTTAATCTCTTCTAGGGCAAATTAAAAGTCTTTTTTTTTCCTGTGATTTTTGTAAGAAAATTCAAGATTTTAATTTCTCGTATAGGGCAATTTTAAATTCTCCTGGATTTTAATTTCTCCTGTAATATATACATTAAGTCTACTGTTAGTGTTATGTTTATATATTATTCATTCTGTTTGATTCATAGCTGTTTGTTTGCTTATTTTTTTTCTTATTAAAAACAACTTATACGCTAATATGTAGGTATGAATACTAACAATTTCATAATATTAAAAACAGATCACTGTTGTTGGCTGAGATTAAGTGAAAATAAAATCGAAAAACTTAAAGGTAATGAATATATCATTATTCATCATACAATCAACAGTAGTACTTACTGTATATATAAAAGGAGAGAATGAAAAAAGAGGTACATGAAATACTTCTTTTCATTCTGTATACAAATCATATAATCATGAAACTATAGTGCTAATGTATATAAAATAAACTAGAAAAGTCATCGTTATTTTTAATCACGTCATATAAAACATGAAGAATCAAGATTCGTATATTAATTTATTTATGAAGAAAGCGACAAATGAATGAATATGTATTTAGTCAAATAAATCCAATATTTCTGATAAAAATTTTTTCTTAAAAGAGAAGAAATAATACGTATATAATTTAGTATAACAGAAAAAATCTTGAGAGAAATTTTAGACTATTCAAATTTACAATAAAGAAATAAAACTTAATCCTTGAAATTAAAGGCTTCATTTAAAGAAAAATAATTGAATTAGTCAAGGTGAATTTTAGTTTTTTGCTATGATGATTTATTTAAATGAAAAGTAGAATCAATAAAATATTATTTTAATCATTTTTTTTCTCTTTTGTTTAAACAAAAGATTTTTATTTAGATATTAATTAAAAACTTTTGCACTCGATGATTACCAGAATCAGCGACATAAAGATTTTCTTCGATATCAAATGATAAACCAATGGGACCATCCAATTGATTTGGCTCGCTTCCTCTTCCGTTTCCACCAACAATAATTTCACCTTCTTTATCTCCTTCAGACCAACGCATTACCCGTTCATTCTCCGTGTCTGCTACATATATTTGACCTACATGATCAACAATTACTCCTGCAGGACCGAACAATTTGTTGAGACTATTTCCTTGACCATTCCCACCAGCAACAACAATTCCTTCTTTTGCATCTTTTCTCCATTTCATTACACGATGATTTTGTTCATCTGATATATAAAGAGAATAATATTTATCAACAAAGATAAAAGAAGGAGAATTCAGTTGATTAAGTTGATTTCCTCTTCCATTTGCACCAGCAACTATTCTTCCATTTTGATCTCCTTCTTTCCATTGTCTCACTTCATTCTTGTTCCAGTCACTAGCATAAATAAATCCATCTTTATCTATTGCTAGACCATTACAATCAATATCCGAAATAAGAATTTGCTGTTTTGTTTCATTTTCATAAAACCATCGTATTACTTGTTTGTTATGATGATCACAAATAATCAAAGATTTATTTTCTTTGTCAAAAATCACATTTTTTGGCGTTTGGAGCCGATTATTTTCATATCCATCTGCAATGACTTGACCATTCGTCGAATCAGATTTCCATTCAACAATGCGATTATTGAGATAATCAGCAATATAAATCGTTTTCTTATCATCGACGGAGATACCAAAGGGGAGAAAGAGCTGATTTGATTGATTTCCACGTCCATTTCCTCCAGCCACATTTATTCCATTTTGTTTCCATGTAGAATTGATTCTATCTAAAATAGTTTAAATTTATTGTTACATATATTTTGAATGTGTGATTATGGATGTTGTATCTATTATTCATCAATCTACTCACCTATCATTGGCGGACAGATACGTTGATCAGTCATTGCAACTGGATAACAAAGAGGGCGATCATGACATTGAGAATGGTGAACACATGTCGTGTCTGATTGAATACATGAATTGTCTAAAGGATTGCACGGCACGAGACGAGAGCATGTGGCCCAGAGAAAACCGCAGATACCAGTATTATCATTATCACCTACTATATGAAAACAGCCACACGCACTGTTTTTTGAACATTGGCCATACTGAGCAGTTTTCTCACATATGTCAGATTTTACTTGAACTATGCAGGTGATAAACTAATACATATAAACATATAAAAAAGAATAGAAAACAAACCTATAATGCTAAAATATAAAATCGATGAATCTTTAAAAAAATGAGTGATAAAAATCAACAATAATTTACTTGAGAACGATGAAAACGATATAACAATGGGTCCTGATTGTAGTCATAGTTGATTTTAAAATAAGACAATATTATAAAAAAAATGTATGTTTTTATTTCTGAAACCCAAAATAGCATCATAAGCCAATTTAATTGAAATATAAAAAGTGCATTTATTCACATATCAATAAATGGAAATTTAATATTCTCTCCATTGCTTCTAATCGTTCTAAGCTACTCTCCTATGAGAAACACAACAGATATGTAATGACAAATGAATGAATCCTCACATGAGAAATTTAAGATTCGATAGATGCTTTACCGATTCAACAAAACGTTTTTTCTTCGTTTTTTGACTTTTATCTTATAAAAATTACCAAGATCTTCTCTATACGTACTATAAAAATCAGGAGGATCCAAGTTTTGAAAACCTACTGCACTTAAAAAAAAGGAAAAATTTTTCCAGTGTCATTTTGTGGCGTTTTTCGCTTATATTATGTTTCTTTGAAGATGAATAATAATTCTAGCGTACCCATCCACGCTCACCATGTTCTCATTTGAAAAACTGAGAGAAGAAACCGGTAAACGATGAAAGAATAAACAAATGTGAAGATGTGGGTGGGCTATTAGAGTTAATGGTGATTCACTCCAACGCTAAATGAAGATATAAGACGTTTCTTCTAATCTAACTAGTTTAGAATATTTGTCTAAAAATGAAGAAGGTATGTGATTCGAATTCCATGGAAGGCGTGAGTGTTGAAGGGTACAGTTGAGAGATGAATATAATGTTGCCGCTCTCACCACACCCACACCCACTATCATTTATTACATTCAATTATAAATAGTATTCAAAATTCGTATGTATATTCTCTATTAATATAGGTTTAGTAGAGGATAAATCGTTGGCTAAGCATGTTTTCTTTTACTTTTCTTTAAACGTAATAAAGAAGAGAAAAAGAAATATAACTTAAATAAATCATTAGAAAGTTAGAGGTTCGACCATGCACAAGAAACTATATTTATTTGTTGATATGATAAAAACATAGTGTTACATTTATTCTTTATATGAAATGTGTAGAGCATCAAAATACAAATTTTTTAAACAACAAAAAGGAAACGAATCAATATGTTTAAGATTTTTGCTTTTTTTGAGTTCAATGCTTTGTTATCCTATTTTATTCATTTTGTGTCTTCCTTTTACCTTTTAGTTGTTTTTGTTGTGATGCCTAAATTCTGTACTGAAAAAATCTAATGACCATCAATTATTACAAAATAAAAAAATATTCTACTTCTTCTCTAAATGTACCATCTGGTTAATGTTCAAGTATATTGAAGGGTATCTTTTAATGAATAGTGCTTTCAATATCACTATGCTTCATAACCAGCTTTTCTTTCGTTTATTCACATCGTTTTCAAGGTATCTCAGTTGAATCAAATCTTCAAATTCACCGATATCTATGATAGTCGAAAAGAGTATCAAATGGCATATACCTGCTTATGCTGGTCAATTTAGTAGGAAGAATGTGGGCGTGCATATTAACTTTATACTCACTTCCTCTAGTAGATTTTAGAATAGATATATTTTTTTATGAGAGAAGTTTTTTATTTAATAAGCGCATTACAATTAAGCACAAGAATAAGCAAATGAGATAGCTGTGTGTCTGAAGCAACGATTTCTAATTTTTAACATGAGATTGATCGAGTGTGGAACAACAATTTTTAGGATAGCAGTAAATCCACCACATAACCCTAAAATTCTTGATATAATGTAGAAAAAATTGTTACGTTTTGAAATTGAATATGAACAACAAGTTGGAGAACATTGTTGATAGAATGTTGCATAGGATACATTTATTTCCCATTGCTCAATAAAAAGATTGTCAATGATATCATTGATAATTGTATTTGTTTCGAAACGACTTTTTATTGTAGAGTTCATTGCTGTTATGTTTACTTTTTCATAAGAGATTGGAGGAATTGTTCTAATGTAATAGTTCAATATATCAAGACATGTTTGATTATAAAAACATTCAAATGTTGAATGTAGTAATGTTTCAATGACTGAACAGCCTATATTCCATCCTGGTATTTCAAAATGTTGAATTCCAGAATTCGAATCATAAATACCTGCATTTGTTATGCAATCTTTTTGTGTTCCGCAAGAACATCCATTTTTTAGCGTAACTACACCTGTAGGAACTGTAACATCATCAATATCATAGTTTATCCACCAATACCAATTCAAAAAATAACCAGATATAAAAGCATTTCCATGTGTTGAATCACGTAGTAATTGCAAGTCACGAGAAAATCGAGCTGGAGTATTTGTTTTAAATTGATTAATAATAACGTTCATATGCATGTTAAATTCTGATTCAGACACTACTGTAGCACTTATAAATACATCGTCTAAGAACTGTTCAATGGCGTTGCTAATAGTTATTTTTGAAATTTTGCATAAGGCTGAAAGAAGATCAAAATATGCGGCTCCTCGACTACGAAGATCAACTCTATCATAGTTTCTCCATTTACCACCGATGAATAAAAAGTCAATCCATTTCTCTTTTACAAAGTCACTCGAACATACTTGATGAAAAGTATTATTAATTGTAATAAAGTGTTTGTATGGTATAGAAATATTGTGACAAGGACACTGAAGAGTAGTAGAATTAAGCATTAATAAATTTTCGTATTGAGTTTGCGATGGCATTGAAATCACTTTCGTCGATGTTTTCATCGAAATACAAGTAAAAATAATGATATTACATAGACCAACGATCATGAGTAATAAATAGAATCTGGTAGACAGACGTTCACGCCGTACAACATGAATATTAGTTGATCCACTGGAAAATAAATTGATTTTCATCAGTTTTACCGGATATTGTTTCCATAGTTTATTACGATAGTATTCAGTTCCATGATTTTCTGACAACAAATTTTTAATTGAGAAATATTGAGTGAAAGTGAATGTATAGATAATAAAAAAATTCTTTATAATTGCGCAATCTCAATCAATCATATAACAAGCTTTTATTTGTATAATCTACTTATGTTGTTGTATTCTCGAAAAAATAAACAAAAGAGTTAATACAAACCACATCTCAATCTAATCTATAGTAATATACATATTATAGAAGAACTGACTCATAGCTAAGCGAGACATCATAGTTTCCACGTCCACGTCACTCTTAAATACTAAGACAAAAGACTTCATTTGTAACATATATCTCATCGTACATAACAGAAGGGATATAAAAATTAGTATTGAAAAAAAAAATAAATGATTTACTCACGATTATTTGTTACTTGAGTACTACATGTTGGCAAAGAGTTCTTTGAATGAATTCGACTGATACGCTTGAGAAGAAGCTTTAACGGAGAAGGAATTATGAGCCAAGAAACAATATTAAGACCACCAAAAAGAGCAATCAATGTGATGATAATATATAGTACATTCATTCTTTTTTGATAACTAAATGAACAATATGCAGGTCGACATTTATGATAAAAATCAGTATAAGATATTGAATAATTCCATTTTTCAACCATTATTTCATCAACAATGACTTTGACACGGACGTTTGTTGGAAAACGACTGGATACTTTATTATTAAGTGCAGTTATATTTGTCTTTAGAAAAAGATCATTATCAGCTAACAGCTTTCGTAATTGATCAATGCAACTGGAATTATACCAGCATGTAAGTGTTGATTCCAATACAGAGTTGACTATCCAACAATCGATACGTAATCCTGCAATTAACATATTCGTGGATTCACCCCAAAGCATTAGTGAAGCATTTCGAGCACAATAAACCATTTTATGATTAATAATTTCGTATCTACTAGACGTGATGATTCTTATACGATTCAATTGAGATGGATCGAGTAGAGGATATTCAGTTTCTAGATCTAATTCAAAATTTGTTCTTAATCCAGTAATATACTGATTGACATGAATAACTGTATTGATTAGTAACATTCTATTAGAGAATGCAGCTCGTGTCGAATTGAAGAATCTGTCGATGAATGCATGTGCCTTTGAAGCGAACAGATCATGTGAAATAACTTGAGCATTAATAAACATTGTTGAGTAAAAACGACTAGTTTCATCAATAATCGTTAAATTTGCTAAATCACATAAAGCAGTCAATGTTCGAACGTGAGATGAACCAGCGAAGTGAATATTAGTCCATTGTCCATACTCCGACACAGGAAAACTATCATACCCAAATGCTCGAATAAAATCACTTGTACATAATTGATGATACATAGGAGTAACATGAATGAATTCTTTGTATGGAATTGCTACAACAGTACACGGACATTGTAATGTATTTGAATATTGTTGTTCTAATTGTTCATATTGTTCTTGAGATGGTGATATAATAGTTGTATTGATTGTTTGCATCGAGAAAGATGTGTGAACTATGAGAACAATAAGTGTACTAAGTAAAAATATCAGATAAAGCCTAGTTGTTAATCGACCCTGTCGAATTTGACGTTGATCTTGTGAACGATTGTTGAATAAATTGAATTTTATGATGTTTGCTTTGACTTTAGCAAAACATTGTATAAATCGAGTTTTAATTGATATGCCTAAAGACAATAAACATATTTTAAGAAAGTCATATGAACGAATGCTTTTTTTAGTATCCTACTTTCATTATATTGAGATTTATTTTTCATACAACATCGTGTTCTCTTGATGAATAAGATAAGATCAATTACAGAAGGAATAATCATACGCAATGCTACATTGAGTCCTCCGTAAAGAGACATTAAAATTGTAATAACATAGATCCAATCAAATTTGTTCGAATAAGTATAGCTACAATGTATTGGAGCACATTGTTTATAATAAGAATCGTATAGAGTTTCATTGAAAATTTGTTCAATGAAAAGATTTTCAATGAGAAATTTAATATTTGTTGTCGTCATAAAACGACTTGGTACGACTTGATTAAGTATTGAAATATTGATATATTGTGAATACATAGAGAGAATAAGATCAACACATGATTGATTGTAGAAACATTCTAATGATGAAGCAAAGACCATTTGAAGTGGTGTGCAATCAACTACAATACCAGATAATGTTTGATTCGGAATAATTTTATTAAGATCATAGAGACCACTTGTTTCCCACATATCATATAGATAGAAACTTCCAGGTATAGGACAAGTTCCTTCATGCATACAAGTACAAGTTGTATTCGATCCTTGCGCTATGTATCTGACGACTGCTGGTATTACAGACTGTGCTTTTCCACCTGGTCGATAGTTAAATGTACGTAGAACATAGTTAGTTGAGAGGCCTGTTACTAATCCGTTGGCTATAGAGATTTTTTTAAAAGTCGATAAGAGTTTCATGGGACTATTTGATATCATTTGAATTGTTAGATCAAGAGCAGTGCTTGTCTTTATTAACAGTATATCTTCAGGTAAGATCATTGAATTGATTAATGGCAAATGTGAGAAGTCATTGAGTGTATCAGAAATTATTTTTGTTGAGCTATAACAAACTGCAGCAAGTAATTGGCACATAGCACTTAAACTAGTTCGTACATCCATTGGCCAGATGAATGTTGTATTAGTTTTAAAAGTAAAATCAATCCACGATTGAGAAATAAAGTCACTGGAACAAACTTGATGAAATAATGGTGCAACATTAACGAATGTTCCATAAGGTAGTGCAAGTTTTGTACATGGACATTGTAATGTGTCTGGATATTGCTTTTGAAGTCTTTTGTATACAGCTAAACTTGGTGAATGTACGATTTTCTCTTTGATTAATCCATTAATAGATGTATAGAGTGTAAGAGTGAAAACTGAGATAAGCAATACCACAAGATATAAACGAGTAGAGAGAATCTCACGGTGAACAGTTGTTAAATCTGTTGATTGCGAATTGAAAAGATTTAGTTTAACGAATTTTCGATGTAGCGAATGATATAGTGATTTTAATGAGAACTGTCGAAAAATTGCGATAAACTTCATTGAATGAGGATGACTATGAAAGTATAAAAATAATTTATTTTCATCGTGATACATGTATTTATATAAGTTGTATCTGTATTCGCACATCTCCAAACAGAACTCAAGAGGTTCACAAAATCGGACAAGAGTGATAGAGACGGTATAGGTGGTTTAGAAAAATTCTATCTAGCGAGAATATAGGTATTACCATTTACATAATCATGAGAATGTAGATCTAGTTGTGAATATTGTGATCAATACTCAATAAAACTTCCCTTTACATTCATACCTTCAGCAGATCGACTGAATCTTCTGAAACTTTGTTATTGAGTTCTAGAAATTCTAATACGCTTAAAAACTAAGGTAAAATCTTCATATCACAATAGAAAGATGATAAAACAGTGATAACAGAAAAAAACGAATGTTACATTTACTAACCACGTTTTGCGAAGTTGTTGCATAATAAGATGTATTTTTCTTGTCCGTCAATGCAATAATTTAAATGAGAATATATTTGAAAGTTTGGAGGATTTCAGCAAAAAAAAGAAACGATAGAGCGATCTGTCGGCTGTATTTAACTAAATGGATTAATAGCATGAAAACGCCTATGTTGTGCGTCATTGACGCATATGTCGATTGTAGACTTTATAAAAATAAAATACTTACGTCAATCTTGTTAGCAAAAAAAACGGAGGTGGAAAACGCATTTGCATTGTAGACGTCATTCTTGTTAAAACAATGTCTCGGCAAGAGGAAGTTCAATTTAAATGGAGAAACATTTATCTTTAACTTTAAAGAGTAACTCTGACGCAAAAAGGAATATATATGACAGCATAAATCTCTCTCTTTCTATTTTTCTAACGAAATACTATTAACGCAGCTCAAATATACGTCAAGCTCGAACTACCCAGATTCTATTATTAACATACTTGCAATAACAATAATCAATAATAAAGAAAACTAATTCTATTCAATTTGATATTAGTCATGTCAGTGATGGATAGAAAGAAAAACACTCACATTGCACCCACACGCCCAGCTCATCACAGCTCACAGAGTCAAAGAGAAATCCTTTCACGGTACAGCCTACTGCGTAATAAGCATAAACGTCATTGTCAGAGCAGGGAATATAATATACATGACAGACTAATTTTAGCTATTTCTTTCTTTATAGACAGAAGTTCGAAAGACAACGAATCCATCAGATTCCTTTTTTGTCAAAAAAACAGTTTCTAACAGAGATGTTTTTGTTATGAGATACATGAAGAAAACAAAAGTAAATTCATCATATCATTTTTTCATCAAAAGAAAATGTGTTGCAGACAGTGACGTAGCCAGGAGGCGGCAAATGAGCAATTGCCCATTACATTTGGAGATTTACCGATTGAAATTTTACTTTTTCAAAATTATTTATTTATTTTTGAATTAAATTGTGACTGTATTTTTTCTTTAGTTTGAAGCACACATACACTCTTCGCTTCTTCTTTCTGTGAAGAATAAGGAAAAAAAGAAAAAAAATTGCTGCTTTATTTTAATTGTATGTTTGGGAGAACATATAAAAATTTACTTGAAATGAGTAATGACTGGAAAAAAATGATAAAACGAAGTAAGTAAAAAGAGGAACAGTGTATTATATACAAATGTTCGTTAAAGATTAATTTTCTTCGCAACATTGCCTGTATCAGCAGCTTCTGCTGAGAGAAGCTCCAGTTAATTATCGAGAATTAAAAGTCTTTGTAGATCAACAGTGAAACAAAACAGACCAAAGGGACTTGTTGCTCTTTACATTTTTAAAAGCCTCGATGTAGATGCAGATGAAATATTGAAATTATATACACAAATGAATTCTCGTCGTTCTGATTTTGGTATCTAAATCTGAAACATAAATTCTATAAATAGAGACACTAAAATACACCTAACTCAGATGTAAGATCTGAGTTTAATGTATGTTTGATTTAAAGAATATCATTTCATTTTTTCTGTATTTTTTCGACGCCAGAGAAGTTTGCCCAATAGTCTAAAAATCCCGGCTACGTCACTGCTTGCAGAAATATTTTTTTCCCACAAAAAATGTGAATTGAACTGAACGAAGTTGTTTATCCACTTCATTCTTCATTAATGGTAGAGCCCATCGGGTCCGGGCCTGAAAATTTTGTTTTTCCCGGGTCCGGGTCCGGATAAAAAGAAATATATTATCAAAATCATATTTTTATACTACTCGGTGAACATGAGAATGCCATTTTGGATTTGAAAACTGCTTGATAGGTCTTCAGAAAACTAAATCAAAAACCTTTTTTCCTTTTTTTTTTGCTCGTTAGTTTTGGTTGCTGTATAGTTAAGACTAAAAAATTTTCTAAAGGTACAGTTCGAGTTCAGACTAATGCTCGTCGAAATCGGATCCAACTTGGACTCGGACCGGGCATCGGGTCCGGGTCCGGGTCTAAAAAAAACGTGGACCCGATCGGCTCTAATTAATAGATATGAAAAACAAGTAGAGAGAAATTCATTACATTACATTTTTAATCGGAAGTAGAATATCCAGCAGATATAGTTTTCCTGGAAAAATCTATGTCTACTGAACCGGAAGAAACTGTCCATCAATTTCATTCTTCATCAACGGAAATAAAAAGTACATAGAGTAAAATTCATTACATTACATTTTTAATCGGAAGTAGAATATTTAATAGACATAGTTTTTTCCCGGAAAATGATGTCTACTGAACAGGAAGAAGTTGTCCATCAATTTCATTCTCGATCAACGGAAATGAAAAAAATGTACAGAGAAGTTCAATACATTATATTTTTAATCGGAAGTAGAATATCTAGTAAACACAGTTTTCCTGGAGAAACCTGTGTCTACTGAACCGAAAGAAGTTGTCCATCGATTTCATTATTCATCGACGGAAATGAAAAACACATAGCGAGAAGTTCATTACATTACATTTTTAATCGGAAATAAAATATCTGGCAAGCATAGTTTCTTCCACGGAAAGTGTTCAGTTGTCAGAGAAAAATTTGTTCATCCATTTCATGCTGTTCACACAGACGTGAAAAAGACATAGCGATAAAGTTTTCAGATTTCTTGTCAATAATCGATTGATAGATAGGTAAAAGATATTATTTTTATTCGATTTTATCTTAATATTAACCTATTTTTCTATATATACGTAGAAATCATAATTATAGCCTAATATGAAAACTATGAGCGTTATCTTGGTGTACTTGTTCATATACATTTATTCTATTTTGTTCTAAACTGTATCAGTGTGCGTACAAAAGAAACATTTTCTTCGTAATCCGAACTACACATAGTAAGAACGTGAGCGTTATAAATATTTTTTCTATCTCTCACTTCTTATTGATCTGCATAACTTTGTATAGGATGCAGTATTTTATAATAGACGAGAACAGTTTATTGAAGTATTGATCGTTTTGTTCACTGCTATTTAAGTTTAGCTAAAACCCGTTCATAGGAGTGTCCACTTTGGAAAGGATGGATTCCCAGATCGAACAAACATGGTCATAAACGACCGTGTGAAGAGAAATACGGTCGATTGTGCACCTGTAGAGTGTGGGTGAAAGTGAGTCATGATAGCATACTAGTCCGTCATCCACACTCATATTTACACCCACGTATATTCACGGCCACCCTTAAGATAGTTAGTATTGAAAAATCGTGTATTAAAAGTTTTTCTTTTTCTCTAGTCTGAAGATCAAAAGTTGCAGGATCTAACATCAATAGACTTTGCTTGAAAATTCTCGAAACTAATATATATACGTATAAAAAGAAAAAGAAACAAAATCTATACTCATTCTATCAACACAAACAGTTTATCTCATCCGTTGTGTGATCTTGTGTTTCACTACACAAAGAAGAGGAAGAAAACACAACAGTTGCAAACTAACAAAATGGAATCAATTTTGTGTCTTACTCTCTTTATTTTATGTACACTATGTAGTGTGATTAATGGATCACATTTCCGTGGTGGTATTATTTCATGGTGAGTATACTCAATTAACATTTGTTTTTTCATGCAATCTTGCATATTTTTTATTTTCTACATTCATTTTCTTAGGCGTCCGATAAACAATACAGTAACGGGTACCACTACACAAATTCTCGTACATCAGAGATACTCTTGGGCTCGGAACTGGCCCTCTTTTCCTTCGCCATATTGCACGGAAGTGACTGTTGCTGCTCAAACACCTATTGCGGTCTCTGGTGCTTATACAACCTGTTTAGCAAACTGCTCAAGTTCTAACTATCCCTCAGGTGGTCTTTCAGCCAATATGATAACTACAGATTGTGATGCAAACCCGATCATTCAAACATGGACTGGCGAACGTTACGATACTTTGACAATGCCTTTGACAACATCAATTACAATTGGCTATCAATCAACTGCATGGTTTGCTTCACTCTATATTGGCGCTAATGATCCTTGGTCAATTGTCGGTCGTCTGAATTTAGCCTTACGACCCGATGGTTATATTAATTCGAGTCCTGTTACAACTACATTACCGGTAGTATTTTATCAAAGAAATGTATCAGTAGTTCATGTTGTTCAAATGGCAGATAATGATGCTACTGATATATTGATATGTCGTTGGTCCAGTTCAGCTGCTGGAACCAATTACAATCGAGTTGATGAATGTGGAGGTATTTGCCTTGGACTGCCGGTTTCCACTGTATTGATTGGATTCAACTGCACGTTATCTTTCACTTTGCCAACTGCTAATCTCTATTATGCCTGTGCATTGCAAATTGAAGATTATTTTAGTATTACCTCCACGACTCCAATGAGTTCAGTTCCGGTACAATTCTTATTCTATGCATACAGTCCTTCCGCTGGTGTATGTGCACAACGTCCCTCAATTATCGGTGTCCGTCCAAACAGAGGTATGAATATATCTTCTAATCTAAACTAAATTCAAACATTTATTTAATTCTCTTTAGCTTGCATTGGAGTTCCAGTCGGTAAGTACAGTGAATAAATGCCGTTTCTTCTCTTATATTTAAAATCAATGTTTTAGGTGTTCAGCTCAATGAAACTGTAATTGCACAAACATACTGTCCCGGCCAAACAATTGTTGATTTTGTCACTACTTCACCTATTGGAATGACACATAGTGCTATTAGCAATCCAAGTTCTGGTAAGCAGTTGACAGTAGTTTGTTAGAATATGCAAATTTTTCAATTTGAAATATACTATCTTAGATATATGGGTAATGACAGTGACATGGACACCATCACAATCAGGTTCTCAAGGTTTTTGTGCTGGTGCAATTGATATTAACAGTCTACCGTCAGACCCATGGTGTGTTACATATTTAGTTGGTTTTATTTCACCTGAGCTCATTCAAAGTTCAGCGTCACCAGTCGGTATTATCTTCCAAAATCAAACTATTTTTTCAATTCAAAGTAATTTTTATTATTGTAATGGAAAAATACGAGTGTCAACTATATGATATGGAGGATTTATGTTGTATATATTCTTTTTTTCAGTGCTTATGAGTGATAATACTTTCAAAACATCAGAAGTCCGTCTGTATGTAAAAAAAACTCTAACTTTGTCAATTTCATTAGTTATATATATATAACTGATAACTTAATGATGTCTATATTTGATCTGTTTATAATGAAACCTTCTTTGTCGAATGTTTGAAACATTATTTGTTAAGGATTTAATTATATTTATATATTTTAGCCACAAGTGTAGTTAAGCGTCCGTCACGTACTGGTACTAATATTTATTTCACTGATT